CCAATCAGCGGGAAAAGAGGTCAGAATAGAGCAGATGACTAGGCTGTGACACGGAGTGGCTGAAGCAGACGGAGTGCTAACTAAGGCTTGTATCCCCCTAGTGGGGAAAAAATATGAGCACATGTCCAGACTCCAGAACACTGTATAGTGTGGCACAGCTATATCCAATCCTGTATAACTGGCTTTATATTATAAAAAAATGAATACAAATATAAAGCCAGTTATACAGAATTGGATATAGCTGTGCCACACTATACACTGTGTTCTGGAGTCTGGACATGTGCTCATCTATTTTCCCCACTATGGGGATACAAGCCTTAGCAATGGCATGATATAAATATTCATTTCATTATTCAATGTCTTTTTTTATATTATACATTTTATAATATAAAAAAAAAGACATTGAATAGTGAAATGAATTGAATATTTATCATGCAATTGCTAACTAAGGCTTGTATCCCCATAGTGGGGGAAATAGATGAGCACGTGTCCAGACTCCAGAACAGTGTATTATTGTATAGTGTGGCACAGCTATATCCAATTCTGCCTACCTGGCTTTATATTATAAAGTTCTTATAATATAAAGCCAGTTATACAGAATTGGATATAGCTGTGCCACACTATACAGTGTTCTGGAGTCTGGACATGTGCTCATCTATTGTCCCCACTATAGGGATACAAGCCTCAGTTAGCAATGGCATGATAAATATTAATTTCATGTTCTTCATAATATTAAGAAACTGACCTAAAATCATCATTTTGTATTGCTTTAGAAAAAAATTTGACCTGTCCCTTTAAGAAAAAGTATCCATAATTGGTATCTGCGAGTACTTGAGAAAAAGTATCGGTACTCTGTCTTAAAAAAGTGGTATCGGAGCACCCCTAGTATTTATGTATTTTATTGTTTAAATGTTGTCAGTGGTTAGTTAATTATGATTGAAATATTAATATACTGATTGGCTTATTCATGTGAATCTTAAAGGTTACCTACGACTTCCTGATGAAGCTTCGGCGGAATGCATAGAAGAACTGGACGCAGTACAGACTCGCGGAATATTTTACTTTTGATTATGACTATTCATAAAATGATTTTTTTATATTCATTATAAGGAAATTGATGTTAAAATAAGTTTATTGTATTAATCATGCTTTGTATCGTGTGTAATGTGCAGAGTCCAGGGAGGGTTTGTGCTGTTTGATCATGGATACCAGGGGGGATAGTGAACTCATTTTTATCACGTGGATCATGAAATCTTTTAATAATAAATGTTATTTTATTATGTTATTTTGTCATTATTATGTTGTATTATCCCTAATAGCCTTTCTTGACACTACAAAAGCCCCATCTATCTCTATTTTGTGTTGCTTACCTATATTAGGGGTGTGGTGTCCTCGCTCATGTAGTGATTCAAAACATTTTGTATTATGTTAACATTTAAAGGAGAACTATGAGGTCAGTGTTTTTCCTCATAGTTCTCCTTAGGGTAACGGGGGGACACAAACTAGCGTCCTCCCGTCACCCTAAGCAGGGGGATTATTAATGTATGCCCAGCAAAGGGTATAATAGTGTTCACCAAAGTTGCCAAAATGCCCCCCCCCACCCTCCAGGGAGCTGAGACAGATGAAGCTTGCATGTCAATAAGCAAAATAATAAACATGTGCTCAGGGCGCTATAGGAAGAGGGCATCACAGAGCTCCGCCCTTAGCTGTCATGCCCTTAGAGGATAAGTGCACCTTAAAACAAAGTGCACTTATCCTTTTAGCCCCTCCTAAAATGTTTAAATCCCCCCTTCCCCAGATCCAACTGCTGCGGCCTCTGTTTATTTACATCCGGCGCCACCAGAAGTACCTCATTATGGCCACTAGATGGCGCTGAGGATCAGAGGAAAGAAATACGTCTCGGTGACCAGAGATACAATGTAACAATTGTAGAGCACGCTGGAGGGAATTGGCAGGTAAATGTAACCATGGCTACTGGATCCCCATATTATCAATGATTCCAGTTCTTTGCTGATTCCCTCCAGAGTTCTCTAGAATTGTTACATTGTATCTCTTGTTACTGAGCTGTATTTTTTTCCTGTGATCCTCAGCGCCATCTAGTGGCCACAATGAGGTATCCCCCCCCCCCCCCCAATGACTCCGTCCTTTATGAATTTTTAGTTCTGCCCCCCACTCTGAACAGTAACGGTCTCATTTCAGGTCCCGGTCTATGATCTCGTTGGGTTCCTCCAGATTCATGGGAGCATTCAAAAGTTTCTTCGAGTGAGTACAGCTGTGTTTATATAAAATGCGTCTTTGTAATGCGGTAACATACATGCCAGGTGTCACTTCTAGATGGAGTCCTATGTGAGGTGTGGAGGTCAGGGCTTAAAGGGGAACTCCATATGTCTTTAACTCTATATGTTGAAGTCATCAGCTTCGTGTCAGTCATCTTATCGGTTAACGGGAATGGTTTAAAAGTGCGTTTGGTTGCTCACAGTTCACCATTATGGGGGCAGATGTGTTGTTTACTACTGCGGGCTCTGCTTCCTTCTTAGTACATACATGTCAGCTGATCCGGTATTGCTGGGACGGTCCTGGATCTTGGCCCTCGGGCCTGCCCATGCTGGGTCCTGGTCCATGTCCTGGGATAACAGCACCAGCCATATACTCAGGGCTGCCATCAGAAATGTTGGGGCCCCTTACACGGCTTTAGGTCGCCCCCCCCACGCCGCTGGACACAGGGCTTAGTGACCTGCTGGACGCAGGGCTTAGTGACTTGCTGGACGCAGGGCTTAGTGACGCGCTGGACACAGGACCCACCTGAGAGTGACCCTGCAGAGCCCACCATATATGCTGCACAGCCCATCTGAGACTGTCTATGGTGGGCTCTGAAGGGGCCTCAGGTGGGCTGGTCAGGGCTCCATCCCTCCCTTCCTTCTTTCCTAGCTCCTCCTACCTGCACACATGGCCTCGTGTGCCGCCGGACCGGCCAGAAGTGACGTCACTTCTGGCCAGTCCGACATCAGATGAGCAGCGTCGCTGATGGGGCCCTAGCTTGTCTCAAAGCCGCTGAAGCGGCAATGCTGGGGCCCTGTGCTGCTAGGGCCAGACCTCCGCCTCCTCGCCCTTCACCGTTGGCCGATAGTCATGTAAGGGACACGGGCGGGCCCCCCAGGCTGCCCGGGCCCCTTACATGAGTATCGGCCGTACCCCCCTGATGGCTGCCCTGCATATACTGCACATGCGCAATAACTCCAAAGCGCATTAATTG